TTGCCGTTACTTGGAATTTCTTCGATCTTCCGGATATGTTCGAAACAATCAAGATAGAAAGAAAGAGAAAGAAAGAGAGAGAGAGAGAGAGAGAGAGAGAGAAATCGTTTAACAAGCAAGCAATATAGAAATTTAAAGAGTTAAGAATACTTCTTCAAGTTTTATCGTTCATCCTCGAAAACAGATCGTCTTTCGTTCTTTCTCACTACTAACTCACTCACTCACTCACTCAACTCTCATTGGAAAGTCTAAAACCACGTTGTGTTGCAGGAAGAAGTAATAATCCTGTACAAGCGTGCACTTGGTTTCCATTAAGGGCCCTGCACGCGCATCGGCGTAACGTTTCAAGGATAAGATCTTTGAGCGAGGAGCCTGAGCGCGGGACAATCAGTAGGTAGAAAAAAATGTTCGTTGAAGGAAAGCTAGCCGCATTCCTGGTTATGGCTACCGAGAAGGCACGTGGGAATCGCTAAATCGGTCCTCCATTGAAGCTATCTCTCTCTCTCTTTTTATCTTCCCTTCAACCCCTTCAACGATTTTCTTCCTTTCCATCTCCCTTGGTAAATAGGTAAAGAGTTGTGTGCGATCTTTCTTTGTTTTCTCTCTCTCTCTTTCTTTTTTCTTACCAGATTGAATAGTCGAGTATTATACGTCGTTTCTCATAACGTTCACTTTTCCTACGAGAAAATCGCATCATTTTGAGAAACAAACATATCCAAATAAATAATTATTATCTTGTTTATTATGTAAAAATGGAAAATAAAGATAAATAAGTATTGAGATAAGTATTTAATATTTTGTGGATTGATAACTCAATCAAATTTTGATTCTAGGTTTTTACTCATTAACACGGAACGTTAAACAAGAAAGTGAGAGAGAGTGAAAGACACAAAAAAAAAAAAGAAAGATAGAAAGATTGATTAAAAGATTCAAAAGAATAATAGCGATTTCAATAATACGAAAGAAACAATAATAATAAAATTAGTGAGTAAGTACATTAGAATAAATGTAACAGTAAAAGAAAAAGACTTGTGCTTTACGTTTAGTAAGAGTTACAAAAATTATTGCAAATTAAAAAATATAAATAAATACACAAAAGATTTATTAGGAGAGTATATTTGAACGTGTGTAAATGTAATTAAATTATGAATTTTTTGTATATAATTATAAAAAATATCATCATTATTATTATTGCTATAAAATAAAGTGCATACAAAAATGTATTTTCGAAAAATATTATTATCGAACGTCCTAGTAAAAGAGAGAAAGAGATAGAAAAAGTGTCTGATCATTTTCTTTCGTCCATCTTCTTCCTGTTTGCGTATTTTCTTTTTTAAACTGGCAACAAAAAACATCTCTCCTTCTAAATTCTTTTCTACATACACATACATATATACGTACACTTACACACGTATACACATAGATGAAAGGTGAACGAAGGTAAGAGAAAGAAAAAGAGAAAGAAGGAAAGAGAGAGAGAGAGAGAGAGAGAGAGAGAGAGAGAAAGAAAGGAAACAAGAGTGGTTCTGTTATACGGACGTAGACGCAAAGGTAGACAGAAGGAGTCGGAACAGAATATACAATCAGTGTGATTGTTTGACACCCCATAATCAGCGTCCTTACCCCTACCACTGGTGCCCAACGCGGCTTCTCTCTTTTCGCGTTATCCTCTCTCTCTCTCTCTCTCTTTCTCTCTCCCTCTGTCTTTCTCTGTCTTTCACTGTACCACCTTCCATTTTCCGTCTCTTCTTCGGTAGTACAAACTACCATAGGAGTTCTCTCTTTTTCTTTCTTTCTTTCTCTCTTTCTTCATCTTTTATCTTCCTCCACTCTATTCGTATCTCACCACCTCAGGCTGTGAGGCCGCTGCTACTGGCAAAGCCTCATTACCCCGATCACGACTGGAGATGAAACTCGAGGGAAGAGAGAAACGGACACGGTTATATTATAAGAGACAGGAATAATGCTTGCTTCCTCTTTTTTCATCACCCGAGGACCTTCCGTTCGAGGTCTCCTCCACCAACTCTTTCAACAATTTACTAAGACGATGACGAAGACAACGAAGACGAAGAAGATGATGTCTCTTTCTTCGATTCTTCTTTATTTAGTAAAATAATCAGAAATATATATATATAAATATAGTTAGATAGAATTTCAAATGATTTATCCGGATGTTTTTGGATGAAGACTTTTCAAAGGAACACGATGTCTATCGATGAGATTGCAAAGGGTTCTCTTGATGGTTGCGAGCAATCAGGTAAAGAGAAGAACAAGAAGAAGAAGAAGAAGAACCAGAAGAAGAAGAGGCTTTGATTCAGTACAATGTCTGGTATCGCAAACGAAGCGAGCACAAGACAAAAGGAGAAGAAGAAGAAGGTTGCGAGGAGCGAAGGGCAAAAACAACACGGATCGAGCACTCGATCGTTTCTCGATCGACCGATCGATCCCTGGTATTACGCAGATGTGCGCGTGAGTCGTACGTGAGTAGTCCGATCATGTACCAACCATTTTCTCTCTCTCTCTCTCTCTCTCTCTCTCTCTCTCTCCCTTTCTTTCTTTCTTTCTCTCGAATGCTTGTTCGAATCGGTAGGGTAACGAAAGACGAACGTGCTGAGACCATTCTCTCTCTTTCTCTCTCTCTCTTTTTTTCTCTGTCCGTTTCAAAGAGAAAGAAGAAGGGAATAAGAGAAAGAAAATTGGATCCACCGACGCTCGCTTGCTCGCTCGCTCGCTCGATCATTTTGCACTACGCTCCTCGAGGAGTACGTGATTCGACGATTCAACAGCAGCTACTCGTCGTTCAAAGGAGTACAAAATCGATAAAAAAGAAAAAAGAAATAAAGAAAAGAATGATAAGATGAATGAAGGATTTTGAAATGATGAAACCTCTCGAATGCATCGAAATGTTATTCGAGGTTTCGATCACTACAATTTTTATAGGTTTTATTCGGTATTCTTTTGGCGGTTCGAACAAGGCCAAAACGCGTTAGTTGAGATAAACGAGCTAATTAGAAACGGTGGTGGCCAATGCGACCTACGAAGGTAACGTGGGTGAAGTCAAGTTGTTGGCCCGGAAGGTGGTGATCGACGAAGAAAGAACAAGAGATTGAGTTAGCGAAAGAGAGAGAGAGAGAGAAACAGACAAGAGAGTAAGAGAGTAAGAGAGGAAGAGGAGAAGGAGAAAGATGCGGAGGAGGAGATTAGGGCAAAGAGAAACCGCAACGTAGCTTCAAAGAGGTCTCGCCAGCAGAAGCGCGTCTACTTAACTTTGATCAGGTCGAGACCGCTGATCCGAGACGAGCAACGTAGAAAATAAAGTGCCTGAGCTAAGCTAGCTAGCCTGATCCAGCTGCCTTTTTGCATCCGAAATTATTATGAACTCGTGATATCGAGCTGTCCACGAAATGGCTTCTCTTTTCATACACGAATTTTTTTAAGTCGACTAGATAAATATCTCTCTTTTTTATTCATTCTTTCTTTTGTTTCATCAAAACGAATAAAATAATGAATCAGTGTCGTGTGTAATAATTAAGATAGTAGTACTGTACTTTAAAATGAAATGAGGAAAGAAAAAGAGTACAACTTCGTTGGAGGTCTTTAGAGTTTGTGACTCGTCGTTTTCTTTCTTCCTTCCTTCCTTCCTTTCTTCCTTTTCTTTCGCGGAATCGTGTTGCTATTCTGGTTACCATGTTTCCGTTAAAAGTTTTTAGCAAATGAGGGACGTACAAGTCACGTAAATCATCGGATATTGTCGGAAAAAGAAATAAATTTAAATGAGAAGAAATATCAACGATAAAAACATCATCGATCGATTATAAAATATTGTTACGCTTATTTTCTTTTATTATATGGCATGTTTATTAATTGGTGCTTCAGCGAAGTAAGAGAGAAAGAAAATGAGAAAGAGAATCAACGAACAAGTCAATCCATGGAAAGGACACTTTTGCCTCGTGCTAGAGAGATACAACGGTGAATTCGAGTTGGCTGGAGAGATCGAAAAGAGGGTAGAAGAGAGAGAAAGAGAGAGACGGGGAGAGAGATGGAAACGGCAGGTTGAATGTCGTTATTACGTTGAATTAGAGGGTGCAGAGCCGGAACGAGGTATGAAACTATTACCTCGCGAAACGGCGGACCCCTCTCCCTCTTCCCAGCCCCTCATTACCTTCTCTCCCTCCCTCTCTCTCTTTCTTTCTTTCTTTCTGTCTCTTTCTTTCTCCTTTTCTCTCTTTCTTTCAACAACGGACATTCCCCCACCTTGGCGAGGGCTGGTGGTGCGGGTGGGTGGGTTTAGTGCGTAGTTTCAAGCCGTTCTACGAGCCACGAGGATGCTTGGCGAGAAGAAGGGAGCCGGAGAAAGAGAGAGAGAGAAAGATTATGATATACCGTTGAAACATTCATCATGAACAAACGTCCGTCGCTTCCTTCGAAAGTTTACAATTGTTTTTCTTCACTCTTGTTTTACACTTTTCGACAAAGTACGAGTTTCTTAAATCGTTTAATAATTACTTTCTCATTATATACTGAAGTCTAGGACAGATAACAAGCATTGAAAGTCGCACAACAAATCGTCTTTCTATTAGGAATTGAATTTAAATCGAATTAAACTCCCGATTTTCTTGAAAAAGAAATTTTGAACGACAAATATTTTGTCTTACTTTTTTCTTCTTTTTATATGTTTGTTTTTTTTAATAACGAATCATCTAGTGTTTGCCCGTACGAGTTAATATTTACACAATTCGGATCCTGTTTACACTATGATAAGAGAAATTGATTTCAAGATGTATAAGTTAACTTGTGTTTAACTTAAATGGAGGAAGAAGTTTCGCATCGAACGATTTGCAAAATTGTACGAAGATGATTATACCTGTTAGGGAAGATAAGTGTATCTGATGATACGTGCTATACCTCGGCACGTGTCGAGAAAACAGAGATAAGAGGAAGGATAGCATTGTAGTAGGGTGATCGTTAGTAAATCGATAGGACAAAGGAAGAGGACTTACCACCGTGTTGAGGACTATGCTTGTAGCAATCCTGATGAGCAGTATTAGAGGAACCTCCTCCGGTAGCTCCGAGGTGTGTACTGGAAGCGGGCGATGCGGTCGGGTCGGTGTTGTTGGGGTTGGAGCAGGCACCGCTAACCGAATTCGCGGTGACGTTGCTGCCAGTCTGCTGTCCGTGTAAGTGACTGCTGTGATGATGGTGATGCTTATTCCTCCTGTAGGACTCCAGTTCTCGTAGGTGGGAGGTGAACGAGTTTGGTGCATCCAAGAATGGTCTTTGGCCCAAACCAAGTGCTCGAAATTGTTGATGCTGTTGTCCTTTAAATAATAATCATCGAATTGATGATCAATTTACTGATCGATTTATATTTATATATATATATATATAATTCTTTTATTAATAATTATTTCAATAGTACAATTTAATTGTTATTCTTTAAATCAATCTTCGTAATATTTAAATTAAACGTCCTTGATTAAAAATGCTTATTTGAAAGTTGCATCTTTTTTCTCGAATTAATTAATCTTTATCACTGATTAACGAAATGAAGTATCATCGGGTTGTTGTATTGACAGAAGAGAAAGAGAGAGAGAGAGAGAGTGAGATAGGAAGATGTTTGTATAATTAAGCTCGCAGAGTAGGATAATTAAGAAACTCGAGTGGTCCGTATCTCGATTGACTTCAATAGCATTCCGCGCATTCCGTCCATTCGTGAGCCGACAGAATCCAGATCCAAGTATCGCGGGGCATCTACGCGGTAGATCGCCAATAGGTTAATCCACTGTTGTAGTGAAGCGAGTTTATCGTCGAAGGCCACAATGCATGCGCGGTATCGAACGATTACCCTCAAAGACGGATAGCGGATTCGTATCACCGTAACTTGATAGAACTTGCTTGTGTTATGGTATGTCTCTCTATCATCTGGCTATCTATTTATTCCGAAATATCTATTAGTCTTCTGTTTCCTCGATCGTGATAGACAAACGTTGAAATATTTAAAAAAGAAAAGAGGTTTACCTGGTTTTGGAAAATAAAATAGAAGGAAGTTATACAATTACAATTAAATACAAAATAATTATTATTATCGACCAGACGACAAAAAGAAAAAAAAGAAAAATGCTGGCGTAAGAGAAAAGGGAAAGGGGCGAAGGACAAATAAAGTTTGACCACAAACTACGCTAAATCGTTGCAAAAGACGCAGATGGTCGAGCCCTCGTCAAATTTTTTCGCCTAACGACGACTGAAACACGTATGTTGATTATTTGAATAATTCGTGCCTTCCTTTTCTACGTTACTTTCTTAACGAATTAATCATGAATTAATCGTGTTATGAAATGCAACATTTTTTGTTTACATCCAACACGTTTATACATGGTGAAGATCGATAGTAATTCGTGTATTTAACGAGTAAAATTTTTGCGTAACTCCTTTAAAGTTCTCTTAACGTTCTAGAGGTTGGACTAGTTACATGAATTCTTATCGGAACAGGCCAATGTATACGTTGTGATATAATTGATAAGACTTTTTACTTCATCCGTGCGTTTTCTTTGACGCCCCGTAGTCGCAGAGGCGTTTATCGTTTAACAACGTTTCGTATCGTATCTACGAGCTAGAGAAGAAGAAGATATAATGGGGAACTAACGAATTGTTTCTATTCGTTTTTGTGAGACCTAATAAAGAGAGAGAGAGAGACATTGTATTGTCTCGAAACATTACAAAAAGAGACAAAAAGTTTTAAAATAATTTGTAATTAATAATAAAATTTGACGTGATACACCTTCAAAATGATACAAATTAGTCAGTGAAACACGATCAGAGACAGAAAATGAAAAAACTACGAGAAAGAGTGAGAGAAAAAGAAAGAAAGAAAGCGAAAGAGAATAATTCCAATCTCTATAAGCACGAGTAGTCGACTTATCTAATCAAAGTGTGGCGGTCCCGGTGGACGGAAATAGCGCGGCTTTATCCTCCTCTCTAATAAACGGGCCCCTGCTCCTCCCCCCTCCGCATCTTACGTCCTTCTTGACACTAGGGGTCTGTAACTGGCACGAATATTGCGAGGATCTCGATTCGAATTTCTTTTCTTTACCATTTTAATGTTTCTCTATAGAAATAGTATTGAGATTCGACCATTGTTTTTTTAACGCACGCATGAATGGATGAAAGAATTTTATCGTTCGTTAATATTTTACACTTTTTATTTTTTTACATTATATTATTGATTTGATTTAAAAGTCACTTTATTAACTCATTGAAGAGTGGTAACGTAATCTTACGTCATTTAGAAATCTGTAATTAAATTTTAATAACGAGTATTTCATTTGGAATCGTTCGTTTGATTACGATGTCAAATTTTCTTGTTGAACTTCTTCAATTTTATTATTACTTTTTATGAATTTGATTTTAATTCTAACATTGTTTCTCAATTTGGTTAGAACAAATTAATCCCGAAAGGGAAGAAAAAGTATTTAATTTACACTCCCGTTTTGAGGGGCAACATTATTGTTACTAAATTTAATAAAATATTTTATATATTTCAAATCATTAATCCACGTTATTATGGTTAAAAGTTATATTCTTTTACGTAGAAAAACATTGGTCTCAAACGCGTTAAGAATTTTTTAAAGACTCGTTCACGATATGACAATTTATCGAATATCGTTGTACGCGATAGACAAAAGTATATACAAACACTTATTACACACATTTGTTTCCTATTTCTTTTTCAACTAGAATATAAAAAAAATGAAAAAATAATAAAACGGAAAAAAGGGGCTCTTTGGGATGTGTGGGAAAGAGAGAGGAAAAAACAAAGTTGAATAGTTTGTTTGTATTATTTAGTTTTGCGTATCTGACGGGGTAAAACCGACGGAAACGAGGGATAGAGCAATTGATATCGTTGAAAATTCATCGACAATTAGATATCACGGGGGTATTCCTTTTCTATCAAAGCCAGTAATGATTTCGCGGGACTCAGAGACCCTGGGATATGCCCATGCTAATCGACGATATTCCAAACGCGGAGCAATTACCAACGAAGCAAATTCAATTTCGACCTTTGACTGACAGCATCTGTCCATCGATATTGTTTCGGTCGGGAACATTTCGATGATTTTGGACCACGGGTGACGGCTGGCGGCCACTTTGTTTCGCGAAAGAGAGAGAGAGAGAGAGAGAGGAGATCGTTCCCTCTCTCTCTTTCTCTTTCTCTCTTTCTCTCTTTCGTTCCCTCTCTTCTCTTTCTCGAAATATCAATTTGTACTCTATTCTGCTTTACGCTGTTCGATCGAAACTCTCTCGCGCGCACGTTTGATCCGAACTGGAACTAGATCAAAGAGGACGCGAGCTTGGCCGGACGATAAAAGTTCGCTTGACAAGTTCGCCTCGCTGATTCGCCGCGATGCTCCCGACGGGAAATTCATTTGTTGTTTTACGATCATCTATTTCTCTCTCTATACATGTACATGTATATATATATATATATATATNTATATATATATATATATATATATACATATGTATGTATACATACATCTATATGCAAATAGAAAGAGAGAAAGAGAAATAGATAGATATAATTCAACGACGTATTAATTAAAACATTTTATAGAGAACAATCGAATTCGACGATTGCGTCTGTCAATTGTAAAAAAAAAAAAAAAATAAAAAAAAAACATTATATAAAAAATACAAAAGAGAACGTTAGAAAATCACACGTAAAAATGTATAAAATTCATATTAGCTGTTAACGTTGATAATAATTCCCGTCGACTGAAAGTTTCATCCCTCCAACGATCGACCTCGTTTCGCACGGTTACAACCCCTCCAATTCGCATTTCCACGTGCTGCCGAACGAGGAATTACAGAAATTGCTCGATTACCGTCGGTGGCCTACCGGTGAAGTGGAACGAGAAGGACGGCATGCATTATAGGGTTGGGAAGGGTGGAAGAGGTAAAACGACAGGTCTGAGGGAGGAAAGAAGGGTATTGGATGTAGGGAAAAGGGAGAAGAAAGGGACGATTTTCGCTTAACAAAAAGCTCGCGATTATACGCGTAATAATGAGGAACGGCAGGTGTCTGCGATGCGTCCTAGTATTGTCTCGTTGCCGTGTTTAGAGAGTCAGAAACCGAATAATATGAGAGAAAGAGAGAGAATAGGACACAATGAAACTTCGCTCGGGTCCTCGTGTTTTGCCTGCTCAAAGAATCGTCGATGCATCCACCTATACTATACACGAGCTTCTTCTTTACCTATACTAATATACTTAATACGCGTATACGTTTCTATGCATGTATGTAGAAGTTTCTTTCGCATAGATCATCCATACGGTGCGTGCCGTCCAAGCAACACGCTATCCTTGACAACCCCACATATGCAATATGTCGTTGTGCGTGGCTAAAGTTTCGTGGGGCTGCTCGCGCTTAGTTTCGTTTCACCACACGACACGGCTTTTTCTTCTTATTCTTCTTCTTCTTCTTTTCATCTTCTTCTTATTATTCTTTTACTTTTGTCTTTCTTTCCTTTCTTCTTGTTTCTCGGAGGATTCCTCGAAAGTGTCAGTAGGCTGGCGACGTATCCTTATTTTTTATCGAACTTTCTTTTTCAAAACGAGGGGATTAACACTTTCATTTACAACAAAATAATATCACGAATTTATTCTAATATAATTCTAGTATTCATTGATATCTATAATTAATTTGTAACAGTTAAGACAAAATTTTACTATTTTCATTTTCTCTTTCTCTCTCTCTCTCTCTCTCTCTCTTTTTCCCCCTTTTTTTATTTCTTGTTTTCACACAAAATTTTATATGCCACTGACGCTCTTTATAAAGTTGCATACAGCTTAAAAATATATTTACCGTGCGGTCACTAATGAAGCGTAAACTGTTAAACGCCGGAGCGAGGAATTCTGACAAATACATCATTGCACGCGTTGCATCGTTTCGTTGTGTTGTGTTGCATTGCTTTATGTGTTGTGTTGCGATGCGATGCGATGCGTTGCGTCGCTCGAATATCCGTATAACCTGTCGCACGTCAGTTCGCTATTTTGAAACACGGAATGGAAATGTTCATTGTTTTCGCTCACGGTTTGGATATAGATTTAATTATTTAATCGAAGTTAATTAATTTTATATTAATTTCTGACATCAGGACGGACATCGATATGTAAACGTGGCTCGTTACGGGGGAACATCTCTTCTCTATGTCGACACTTTTAATCAATGTAAATACAACAATTCATTGTGGGTAATGACCGATACGACTCGACGAGAATCCTATGAAATCGTGTGTTAACTTTTGAAAAAAAATTCTCAACATAATTTTCACGTTTGTTAATGACCTTTAAACATTGTTAAACATTAAAAAATACAAATATCTTATATATATGTAAAGAAAATATATTTTATAACATAAACATAAACATAATAATAATTAGAAGGTTTAAAAATAAATAAAGAAAAATGGATTGAAGATACGAATTAAATTAGTCTACGAATGTAATACAGGAGATTTGGTATGTATTGAAAACAGAAACAAATTAAACAGAAAAAAATTGGATAATTTGAGAATTGGACCATTTAATATAATAAAAAAGATATGTGTTGTACCGTGATAATTACATAACATAAACATAATAAATAGAAGGTTTTGAAAAGAGAGACGGTTATACGGTGATAAGAGAATAGAGAGAACGGTTGGAAAAGAAAAACTTAAATAGGAATTAGAAAATCTTGATTACGAATTAAAAACAGTTAAGAACGTGAATAAAGAAGTGAATGTAATAGTGATAAACTTAAATTGTCGTTTCTTTGTTAACAGAGAAACAATTTTCCGTTTATTACTATTACCCAACTATACAGAACAGAATATTGTCTTCTATACACAACAGAAATATTGTCTTATATACCCTATGTATATATATGTAATACATTTGCATACATACATACATATATACATACATAGATATACGAATCTAATTCTTTTTTTGAAATAATACCGAGCGATAACTGAAAAATTGGTGAATGAGCGGAATCAATCAAACGGAGCATTTAAAAAAAAAAAAGAAATAAAAAAATAAAAAAAGAAAAAAAAAGAAAAAAAATAGAAAAAAATAAAAATAAAAAAAGGAAGGAAAAAAAATTACTCGCGAGTCCAGCGAGTGTACGCATTGCCCTACGCCCATCAATACTTTATCCAACAAATGCGAATCGTCCGCAAAAACCTGCCCGTACTCCGCGGTCGATTCCGCAGCGGCTATTAATCTGATATCGAAATAACGATCCCCCTTTTTTTTTCTTTTTTTTTTTTATTATACACACACGAACACATCATACAGGCACACGTCATGCAGAGATACAGAAATAGAGAAATGCATACATTTGAAAGTAACTAGACCGTTAGAAAAAAAAGAGAAAAAAAGAGAAAAAAGAAAAAAAAGAAAAAAAAAGAAAAATAAGAAGAAGAAAAGAAAATAAAAATCCTTCTTCCTTTTCATACCTAATCGTCGAAAACGTTGCGGAGTTTTCTCGCACGAAAATTCCAGGACGGAAAAAGCCAAGCAAAGCCAAGCATCGCTTCGGTCGGTCCCGTCGCCGGGCGACGTTCATTGAATAGCAAAACCAAAACACATATACACGCAAGAGAGTATAACGTAGCTCGACCACTGCATCATCGTGCACCATCTGCTCGGTAATGACGCCGCTATTACCGCGTATAGGGACTTTCGGTGAATTATCGGTACATTTTCTGGGGATGCTGGACTAGTAGCAGCCGGTCACATCCCATTAGATGGATCTGATCGTTGCTCGTAACGCGTTATCGTGAACTATGCCACACGGTAGAGGGCACATACTTTTTTTTTCTACTTACTCGTTTTCGAACGTGGTTCTCTCGGTCCATCTACGGTCACCTTGATCGCTCTGGTATAGGTTGCTACCTGTGGTGGACTCGTCGAGACTGTTATCGTGATGCTAAAGCTTTTTCCTGGTGACAAAAAAAAACAAAGAACAAAATTCGTTTAGTTAGTTTTCTATACGATACGTACTTTTGTTCGTTAGTCGTTAAAAAGGTGAAAGTAAAAACAAAAAAAAGAAAAGCAAGATTGAAAAAGGATAGAAAAAAATAAAAAGAAAAGAAAAATTTAAGGAAAAAAAAGAAAATAAAAAGAAGTAAAAAAGAAACTGAAGGAAGAGAAACGAACGTTTAGAAGGGGGTGGAGCGAGCGTGTACATATATCACCAGCGAAGGTCTCGAGGTTGAAGGTCCGGTATATTAATTCCCTCTCCATAAATGTCCGTCGGAGAGATTGACTACGCGCTCTTAAACGGCCCATCGCGCGCTAATATGCATTTGGTAATTCGCCGCTCCTACTAACTTCTCGTCCGTATGGAACGAGAGAAGAAGTCCCATCTTGTCTCATTCGACCGATAGAATCTACGAGAGACGTTTCTTCGAACGGTTACATTGTCTCGGTTTCTTTAGAGAAAAGATCAAGCCGACCAGCGGTTGGTGGTAGATTTCAAAACCGGTATCTTTTAACCGATCACTGAAGAAGATCGAATTTTCATCGCAAAAATAGGGGGAAAAAAAAAACAAAAACAAAAAAAAAGAAAAATGATTGTTTGAAAAACGATACTACGTCCTATCGTTGTTGATCGCGAAGAGAGACGATCGGTAACGCGTCGCGGATATGTATTTGTTTGTGTTGGCGTAAACGTCAACGATTTGTAATTGTCTCCCCTTGGTACACCTAGGTCCACCTCGCTGTGTCTGTCAACATGATAACCGGCATCAAACACCCTCCGAACCCCACTACCACCACCTCCACCACCACTACTACCATCACCATCAGCATCAGCATCGCCACCCCCTCCTCCCCCTCCTTCCGGGAACTGCAACTGACTGCAGACTGAGAGAGAACGGCTACGTAGCGTTATATCGTTTTCCCCTCTCTCATCTTCTCTCCTTCTATCTTTTACTCTGCGATCGCTCACCACCTATCCTGTCGTTCTCTCAACCCGTCATTGTAGTATCCTTGTCTCCGTCATCGCAATATCTGTTACGATACAAAATGTGATTCGTTCCCGACGAATACTAATCTACCTAGCCCGGATAAACGTTTATCGAAACGATTTGACGGATTTACACGAGACGAAGAATCTTTACAATTCGACGATCCAATTCTATTCATAATTTTATGTGTTTCCTTAATGAAAGATTCTAACAAACTAATAAACTAAAAAATTTGTATAAAAGAAATATAAAATTCTAAATAATACGATTAGCATCTAATTACAACTAGGAACGCATGATTTTAACGATTGTATAAGAGAAAAAAATATTAGAACAGAAAGTTTCTTTGAGTTTAGTGAAAAAGGGTAAAAAGAACTCCAAAAATCATAGTTAAGTCGAAAGGATCGTCGAGTTTCGAGGCTCCCCCACCCCGATCACAACGGCTAGAGTCCATCGCATTTGGGGCTAATAATGCCGCACAGCCGACTACCACCCCCTCTCTTCGTGCCCGGAGCTGCGGTTAATACTCGATGATGGGAACGGTCATCTGCAGAGACAGGAGCCGGGCTATGCATTCGCGAGCGAGTGAGGAACGAACGAACGAACGGATGGACAAACGGACGAACGAAAGGACGGACGGGTGGATGGACGGACGGACGGATGGTAGGATGGTAGGATGGACGGATGGACGGAACGGAACGGACGGACAGATCGGACGGTAGGACAAAACCGGGCCACGCGTATGTGTCACCTATATAACGCGAGTAGCACCACGCTTGCTTCTCTCTATCCCGTACGCGATAATTCTGTCCCTAGCGTAGCACGCTCTCCTATCCAAATGGTGTATGTGTATGTATCGATGTCTTGTATGATGTGTGTATGTGTACACTTGTGTGTGAGCGCGCATGAACTCATGTATGAACATATACATATATATATGCACATATGTATGCGTTCGTGTGTGTGTATGTCTATGTGCGAGCGTTGGTAACACAGCGAGGAATGGGATGAGTGCCATCCCAAACCGCCCACACAACCACCCGAAACCACTCGAAACCGTCCGTTAATACTCGTGGCGACGAGGCGGAGGGGACACGAGCATCAAGAGTAGGAAGAAGAGGAGGAGGAAGAGGAGGTCTTCTGGGCGAGGAGAAAGAGAAGGACGAAGTGATGGTTCAGAGATAGATAGAGAGAGAAAGAGAGAGAGAGAGACTACGAAGGGTAGCGGAATGAATGTAGAGAAGGTGAAAGAGAGAGAGAGAGAGAGAGAGAGAGGAATAGAGAGAGAGATAGTCTCGAAACAGGATGTCTCTGCAATTGTCAAATAATTACTATCGCTGGTAATTTCAGCCGTGTCGATATAGACTGCGGTATATTACTAATTATAGGCACGGGCCGGTAGGTCCGCGCCCGATGATGGAACGACCGCTTTAGTCTCCGCAGACCTCTTTGATCCGGCTACTATCGGCTCTCCTCGTCTCGTTTCTCTATCTTTTCCCAACTCTCGGCTAGAACTCTCTAGGTAGAAGCGTGGCACGTTTAGACCTGCCTAATTGTAACTTTAGTACATATAGTTCTCGTTCTCTTTTCCTTTTCTGTCTTTCTAATTATATTTCTCTTATTTTGATTTTAACGAATTCGATTCGAATTCGGTTGAAATTTACGACAATTAGTCCAATGATATATTTTATTATTATTATTATTATTATTATTATTATTATTATTATTATTATTATTATTATTATTATTATTATTATTATTATTATTATATGTATGTGCATCTGGTAAATTATTTCTTTACGAAAGCAAAGAGAAAAGAAAAGAGAAACGAGTTAACATCAACAATATTCCTATCCGTAAATATACTCGGTGGATATTTCTTGAAGCCACTATCGTCGATGGAAGCGATACGCGGCGCGGTTCAATCAAATTAATAAGTCGCGGAAACAAAACCTCCATGATAGGAGGTTCCATTTGGTCGCGGCTGATACGAATACACCGTGGGCAGTTTGGTCAATCGTCGAAATTGAGTATTACGGATTATCTGGGAGGGTAGTTGGGGAATGGAAAGAGGAAAAGGTGGGAGAGAAATTGGGGAGGAAAAAAAGTTGGTACAAAGGGAGTAAAGAATTTTGACGAGAGAAGTGTCTTTCATACTAATTGATTTCATTATCAATGTTAGAGTAAGAGAGAGAGAGAGTGAAAGAAAGAGTTAAAAAGAGAGAAAGGGAGAGAAAGAGAGAGAAAGAGAGAGAATAGGAAAAAAAGAAAGAAAAAATAAAGATAGATCGATGGAGGGAGAAGGTAGAGAGGAGGATTGGTAGGTGAAAATCGTCGACCCTAGGTTTCATGATGAAATCAAATGAAACATAGATGGTGCCATCAACGAACGGCTAGCACGAGCAGTACAGCTCGTTAATTCATAAACGCCGGACCCTCGATGGTAGGTTCGCACAGGGTGCAAAATGCATTTGTACCTCCTGACAAATCTATCCAACTGTCCTCTAAATAATTGTCACTACTTAATCCGCGACTATAAAACTTTTGAATTTTGATCCGACTAAAATAACAAAGTAAAATGAAATAAATTTAAAGTAGAAGAACGCGGGGGAGTTTTCATATAAAAATAAAGGGAAAGAAGAACGGAGAAACATATCGTAATAAAGTTGGACGTTTTCGATATTCGTTATAAATTCGATGGATGACTGCTCTTGACATCATACCCTTTATCGTTTCGGTTTCGTTATTAACCGTTTTGATGATCGCAAAAAGAGAGAGAGACACTGGTGATCTCGTTGCATTTCCGATTTCCCTCGTCTGTATTCTGCTTTGGGGAAATAAATGACTCGAAACTGTCGATCAAAAGATCTGGTTGATTTTGGGGACTCGATGTCTCTCTTTCTACGTCTCTCTCTCTCTTTCTCTTTTTCTCTCTCTCCCTAGCAGACAGACGATGATTTCTGATTAACGGCCAGTTGTTTCATGCGTTCAGCCGGGGCTCGTGGCGGACATCGAGTAATGACTCTGGGGGCGGCAGGAGCGGGAACTCGCGAACGCAGGGCTGCCGAACGGCTAGCGGGAGACTCCAAGGGTGGTTAATGATAATGATCACAATAACCGTGATTTTAGGCAGTTCGAAATCACTGCCCGACCGCTCTCGTACTTTCGACTCGTTTTACTTTAACGCGAATATTTACAAATCATTTTCACGATGTAAAAATAAATTAAATATTGTCGATTATTATCTTTCTAAAATGATATATTATATATAATTTGATTTATATTTGTAAGGAAATGAACTATATAATCATGCTCACCTCTTCCACTTCTACCGACGAACCTAAGATCATTAAATTTGGCGACTTGATTTTTCATAATTGCAGTAGAGTTACGTAGTTCCGCGCAACAGTTTTCATCGTTACCAGCGCGAACAGTAACGAGGGTTCCATCGCCGACCTCGCCTAGGGCTACGACTTTAAAAGCCACTGGTAGGGTCTTGTTGGATCTCCAGTGAGTTGGCAATTGACTGCAGAGAAAGTACGGCGAACCTGATAATAGAAAAAGATGTATGAATAGTATATAAGAAAAAAAAAGTTTGTATAATCTCTTCAGCAAATATTTATTCAGCAATTTTCACAGAATTTGTAGTCAATTAAAAAATGCGTAATGTTTAAAAAATAAAAGATTTCACATAAAAAAATTATTAGCACACCTGTTCTAACGAGTTCGCCGGGATGTTCAGCTTGTGCCTCACCGACGAGTCTCTCGGTCCACCAAAGTTCGCCGACGGCGGCACTCTCGCTCATTTCGCCGGCACCACCGCCGTTTTCGCCGTCGTCACCCTGGTGGTACCTGGTGTTGACCCCTTGGAGGGGTGCCAGGGAGGGACCGCACGGGCCGGCGCCTTCCTGAGATCCGACAATGCCGTAATTCTCCCCGCAGCCCACGGAACCCACCGGTAGATGCATCCCATCGGCCAGTAGCCGCTCCTCGTCACCCACCAAACACGTACCCTCCGCGCGAGACGTCGTGACCTTTACTTCAAGCGGACCTTACCGACGGAGTCGAGCTAGTCGACCCGTCGACGAGCGACCACCACTTTGCTACCAACAGGTACCCCCACGTTGCCCTCCGCTCGCGCATTCGTCTTCTCCGATCGAGCGCATCCTTTGTGGGTTCACCGATACATCGTTTTAAATCTAATAGAAAACCTCCTTTCTTTTCATTTCACTAAGATCTTTTTTCTCTTTCATCAAACGATTAAAATCACTATTTTATATAAATCAGCCCAAAACGTTAAACCAATATGTTTATTTACAATTTTTCTCTTATTATTTTAAGTCACTTAAGAAAAAAATAGGCGGGAATCACTAAGCACGTGGCTCACTTGGAGGTTGTCCTACACTATTATCACTACGCGGCGAACACTAAAAAGTTTTCATAATCCTATATTATAACAATGACCAATTAGTCGTTTCCATGTGTATAATGTGATCGTTAAATTTTATCACTGATCTCCTGTCTCTTTTCTTTCTTTCTTTTTTTTTTACACCTCAAATAAAAACAATTGAAAAGAGAACAATTAGATAAACGTCGAAGAAAATATTTTTAAATACTAATAACGTGAACAATGTTACTGACTAATAACGTCAATCGCGGTCGACGGTGCGCGACGTAATGCCGCGGCTCAGCAGGCCGCGTGTTCCGCGGAAGCGGCCCGGGTCGGCATAACCTCCGCAACTCTCCTCTGCAACCACCACCCCCACCAACCTACTCGTGCTCGCCACGGGACACGCTCTTGCTCCTTTACCAATCTCCCCACTACGATCATAACCACCACCACCATCACCACCACCACTACCATTACAATCACCACTACACCGTCACCAGTGACGACGACGAAGACGGTGATGATGATGACGATGATGACGATGATGACGATTATGATGATGATGACGATGATGACGATGAAGACGACAACTTATTGTTACTAATTTTTAAGCAAATCTTTTCGTTAGATTAAGATCTTTTTTTTTAGATTTATATTAAATCACTTATTCCAGGATTTCAATGCTCGCAATTTCGGGAACCCCGAATATATTCGTCGAGTCATTTTCAGAAATTAATCTTTACTAAAGATTGAGTTTAACTAAATATATATAACTAGAATGCAGAACACTCTAATGCAAATACAAATGCAAATGCAAATGGGAATTCTCTTAAAGATCTTACGGTAATTCCCTGTGCGTCATCCGTTCAAACATTTTTCCTATACTCTGAGTTGTAAATTTTTCCGCTATCGGATATCGAATCTTCATAAATAATAGAGATTACTAATACCAATTCTTCATTATCCTAGTTTGATCCTAAACGATAATGATCGTAGGAATAGTTTCAAAATCCTGTTTTAAACTGATAAGAGAGTAACGAATTAGAAAGAGAAAAAAAAACAACGGTATCGTCTAAGACTCGTGTGTTATCATACTCTTTTCCCCTGAGACAAAAGATTCTTGCGGTAACCAAGTTTTATCGCATTAGTGTGGTTTTTAAGGAGAACGTTTAGATTTCGAAGAAATTTGCCAAGGGAGTAACGAGAAAAATTAATTAAATCTTATTTAAATTGGAAAACTATAAGAATATTTTTCCCCTTAAATTTTAATCGATTTAATTGAACAAAATAATTTATTAAATAATAATTAAAAATAAAAAATATAACGAAGATAAAGAAAAAGAAAAAAAGAGGATAATTAATAATTATATGAGATAAATTTCGAATATAATTTTTCTACAGACACGTATAATACATACACCATACATTCATTTACATAGAAAATCCAAGCAGAACAACAGTGGTGGTGGTGGTGGTGGTGGTGGTGGTGGTGGTGGTCCCGCCGTTCGAACGGCAAGGCGTAACAAGTGTCCGCATGACGTCACGCAACCTCTTGGAGGCGGAGCTTCCCATTGGGAAAGCAGGTGGAGGTGGGGCGAACGAGGCACGATGCGGGAGAGCCCCACCCCCGCGAGATTTTGTCCCTTCGCTCCTCTCTACCCTCTTTTTGGATGGCTTGATCATTCCTTTTAACTTTTATCTCAACTCTATTTCTATTCTTTTTTATCTGGTGTTCGACAGGAAAGTAGCTATAATTTTTCGATCCTTTACTAAAAATCCCTTTTTCAAGAAGAAAAGTACATGCATAAATTGTTAACGAGAATTAACAAAATTTGTATAAATGTTTGTTCTTTAGGAACATATTTTTTTTAAATGTTAAAATGATATGAAAAAATAAATACTCTCTTTTTCTCTCAAAAATTCGTAGAAAAAAAAAATTGATAACATTTTTTAACAATAATCAATCGTTTAAATATTTGATAAATAAAATAAAATCAAATAATTATTTTCCATTAACTAAATATTTTTAAATATTATAAAAAATTAATTTTCGCTAACAGATGCTTTAAGAAAATGATGGTAAAATAATTTCTAATAATTTAATACTAATGAAAATATTGACGAAGTAAGGTAAGTAGCGTTCAATGTCCTGCGTAGCACCTGTTTCTTCTGCAAAAAGAAAATATAGTGATCCCACGAGAAAGAAGAGACGAAGAGTTCGCGCTTACGTGCGAAAACATTTCAGGGCGCTTTAAAGGTCTCCGAGTTGGGGTCCCACAATGCTACCGTTTATTGCACTGTGGTTTGCTAAAGTGCAATCGAGGAAGCAGATGCGGTTTCACTCGTTCGTGCGGACTTGCAAGAATGTAATTAACCCCTCGCAAGTGTACGAGGTTCCTACCTGCGGCCAACCTTACTTTCCTAGTCTTAGACGAATTTTGATCATGCTTGTGACTAAGAAAGAATTTCTAAAGTTCGACAGATAATTAAAACTATCTTTTGTATAGAAAACTGCATAACGGATAAACTATTCATGAAATTAGTTGATTGTGAACGCCGCTTAATTCGATAACCCGACATTCAAATTTATTATTCGTCTTGTAATAGGTTAACGGTTTGCTATTTGTACTTTGAAGATTTTTATTAGCTTTAAAACAATGTTTAATACTTTCTTTTACTCGGAAATTAATACTCTTTCTAACTGTGCTATAAAAAAAAAATATGTCATTCAATTTAAAAATACCAAATTGAGGTTTCAATCTCCTAAATGTCTCAACTTGTAAATAGGTCATGTACACCACGTTATTTCTTTCTCGATGTTGTGTAATATTTGTTAAAATAATTTTTTGTTTTATGTACAATTTCGAAAATTATTCGAGATAATCAAGTTAAATGGCTTTCGCTATATAAATCGTTATAATTGTAAAGAACGTTCGCCATGCGAATGGCGTCGTTCTATCGTTATTAAGATTACAGAACGAGATTATTACTAATGAGGTTTCTGGGCGGTGCTTGTTACATTAAGAAGGAGGCACTCTGGTATTACCCAGAATCTTAACAAGATTATATTTGACGACTGGTTCGAATCAAACGAGATAACGATTTGCTGTGCATACTATAGACCAGAGAATTCTTTCTTTTATTTTTTCTTAACACTTATTTATCTTAAATATTTATGGTATCTCGTTTCAACTAGGACCAATTCGAGACAATCAAAATACCGGAAGAAGTATGAAAGACATAGTTATCGTATTTCCAAACATAGAAAATGTTCAACTCGTTTTAAGTAAATAAAAAAGAAAGTAATGTTTTTTTATACTTAACTCTTTCTTATCATTGCATCGTTAACGATTGAGGTTTTTATTGATAAGCTATTTAAAAAAAAAATAAGAAAAACACGTGTAACCAACATGCGACTGAAATAAAATTTCTTAAATCTTTTATATTGCGGTAATTTCATTTAATTATTAAATTATTACATTTTTTTGTTAGCGCATTTACAATTTAATTAAAAAATTAAATTATTAAAATTATCTGTATACCTACATTACATACATTAAATTTTTAGTTATTATATACATACGTTTCATTTTTTAACAAACCATCTGATTATTTCAGAAAAATTAATGTGTCAGAAGGACCAAAAGAAAATGAATAATAATTAAACATGTAAATAAATTTAGATTGAATTTAGCATAGCAATTCGCCTCATATTACTTGCGTTACATAATTTACAATTTAAATTTGAATAAATCGCAAATAATACTAACCCAGGTCTCACCGCAAGGAATTTGCTATGTTCGGAGACCCCCGGGCTAAGATTCTACTTCTACATTTATTTTTCTAACAAATTTATTTCGTTAATCATTTGTTAGAAAGAAATTTAAAAAAAAGCAACACGGAAAACGAGTCATTAATTTTTTCATCTAACCTGTTATTCAAGTTGGATTAAAAATCACGAACATCGTTTTAAATCGACTTATCTACCTGATTAAGGTAGATCAAATCTTGCTTATGTAAATTAGATATTTATTTGTTAAAAATTTTAGAATCAAAATGCACACCCTTGACACATTCATATGCACTCTCATGTGCTGGCTGTACTTTTGTGTATTTTTATTCGCTTAGCAAGACTTATACGTTTCTAATCAAAATGTTTCAAAAAAACTTTTCATTAATTTGCACTATGCAAATATAAATTTATTATTATATATGGATTAAAATGAAATTGTCTAATAATTATTAAATAAAATTCTTTGATTAAAAAAAAAATTAAGATGGTTAGAATATTTCAAATATTAATTTATTAAGTATTTTTATTAGTGCAATCATTCATTCATTTTTTATCACTCTGAATGATAAATGTATATTCTTACTGTATTTTCATCTGCATTTAACAGGTATGTTTGTACTGACTGCGATTTTCATATGTACTCCTCAGTGCATTTAATCACAATGATTCAAATTTTCTTTTTATTTATTTGTTACTATCTAAACTAAAAATCAACAATCATATGTTTAACAAAAAAATGAATAAATAGGGTAAAAGACTATGTAAAGCAAAGTGAGTCTGGAGTCTGGAGCAAAGAGTTTGGTAACCATTGGGATGCAATAACAAATGCATTACATTACAATACATATTCAATAAATTATTGTATTTGGAATAAAACTGGAATGAATTTAAATTATATTAAAACATTTAAAAAATGTATTGTTATATACTTTGATTAATGCGTTTAGTAATTTAATTTGAATCATTCTGAATGATGAAATCTTTACTGTGTTGCCCTTATCTGTATTTTTGAATGCAGGAATATTCTCTTCTTTCATCGTTGTATCCAAATGCACTCTTCTATATAAGCAGCAGCAATCCATTGACGTCCACAAAATTTAAGC